TAAATTGGTTGAGGGAGAAGTTTTTGTGCCTCACAACAGAGAAGGAACCCATCTAGAGGACCCTATGACAAGTCCCTGAATGGGTAGGGTTTGGGGGAGTGATTCCCCACGGAGTGCTCTGACATCACCTCGAGGGAGCAATAATTCAGGCCACACTGCCCGACTGCCTTAGGGGAGAGATTCCCCTCAATGGTAAACTGTCAATGCTGTGACCATCCTGGGAACAATCCCAACTTCTTCTGACCTGAGAAGAAGGCTCATTTTAGTTTTACAGAGATAAGGACAGGAGAAGGCTCCCTTTTATTTAGTGAGTAAGGTTATTATCATTTATATTTGCTTAGGATTAAGTCAGTCACTAACAATCAGAGCTAAATTTCCAGGAAGTTTTATAGGAAAGTAGGTATAAATTTTGCTGAATATTCATTTATAAAGGACCTTGAGGCCCTAGTTGACCAGTCTTTAGGACCCTAGAAGTTAAGCACAGAAATGAAGAATTAGAAGCATTGGAGAATTTGCCAATACAAATCCCTGAGTATCACAGTGTTAGCTATAGGAAAGGACTCCCATAAGGGCGGAACTCAGACAGGTAGAAGATTACCTCTCTTGATTCATAATCGAAGTGGGGGAGGGATCATCTCTAGTGCCTTCAGAAAGGTGGGTACCTTGGGAATCTAGTCCAATTCTTTCAGGAGAAGTTCCTCTGAAGAGTGCCACGCCTGGTCAGGGATACCTGCAGAAGAGATGGGGTCAAGGGATGACTAAAGAAAGCTATTAAGCTATGTAAAGTCTGGTCTGACAAAGAGAGAGGTGAAAGAAGTTTTGGCCAAAGCATGAACTTCTGATTCCTGAGAAAGTAATGGAATTTTATTGAGTAACTTCCCAAAATCACCTTAGGATAAATGAACTATCGATATTGCTAAATCCATAATCAGTCTCAGTTTTTATTCCTGTGATTATACTTTGGCAAAAAGTCTAGAGAAATAGAACTTTAACCAGCTCTTCTATTAGGGATTGGTTCTAAATATAAAATGCACTTTAAATGGGTGAACTCAATTGGCAAATTAGACTAAAGCAATATGTATTGTTACTAAATTTTATGTTTTATTTTTAAGATTCCAAAAGCATCAACATAATTAGGAAACAGAAGAATTGTCTTAGGCTGACAGGAGGATCCCAGTTACAAGATTAAAGTTCTGTATGTAATAGAGGAGACAGGGAAGATCTTGACTTCAAAATCTCCCAGAGAAAAATCTAGAAGTTCAGATCTGATTTAATGTTGTGTCTTGTTAGATGTTTTGTGTGTGTCTGTTTGAAACTAAGTTTAGGAATAGCGTTTTTTATTTCAGACAGAAAGGGATGTTATACAATCAGGGAAATCTTTAAGAGAATGGAAAATATGTCTATTTGGTCTGTGCTGTTCATGTTTTGTGATAACCCATAGCTAACAGATTTTTTTTGGCGTGATCAACCAAAAGAAACAGGCTATAAAAATAAATTTTCAAAAAAGGCTTAAAAGAGGACAAATTTCTCTTTTTTCTGCTTCCAATACTGGCTATACTGGAGACTGTTGAGCTGAAAGATAGATACAAAAATTAATTGAAAACTAAGATACCAAAGAAAAGATTGGAAACCAAATTTGTGAGAAAGGAATAACTAAATTTCTTTCTATTCTAAAATTTTAATTTGGATGTCTTTATAAAGTATTTTGATGAGCTTATGGGGTATTACCAAAGTCTGTAGAGTTTAGTGAAAACAACAAGAAGATCAGTTATTCCTTAAAAGAGACCTTTAAAATGACTAGGGATTGATTTAAAGCTGAAGTTTGCATTTTAAGAATTGTCTTATTAGTCATGAGATATGTTCTGGAGAGATTCAGTGAAACAGAAATTCAGGGAAGTGTTAAAATAAGAAAAATTTGGTAAATAGTACATGAGAAATCAGATTGCAAATCTTGTGAGTTTAAAAAATTCCACAAGTCAGAATTCAAAAAGCCTGAAGAAGTTTCAGCTAGCCAGTCTCCACGTCTGAAGTTTTGGGGTATCAGTCTGTGAAACTGGTTTTAATTTTAGTGTACAAAAAAGGAATACCTAAAAACCCTACTTAAAGTTGGGATAAGTTTATCATAGGAAGGAATTTTTATTATTGGAAGGCAGAATAAGGAAATTTTAGACTATCTTCAGGAAAGGAAAACAGTGGACAGAACTGGGGTTCGTTTAGCCTTCTGCTGTTTACTGCTTTTAAACAACCACCCTGAGGGCACCAAGCAAGTCTTGACTGGGACTCCCAATTGAAGGTGAATCACAAAGTGCTCCCAGAAAAAGAAAATCTGTTTTGAAATCAGAAAACCTCAGTGGATAGACCACTGGCCCTGGAATCAGGAGGACCCGAGTTCAAATTCAGCCTCAGACACTTGACACTTACTAGCTGTGTGATCCTGGGCAAGCCACTTAACCCCATTGCCTAGCCAAAAAAAAATTAAAAAAAAAATGAAATCAGAAAGCAATTGAAGGTAAGTGAAGTTTAATGATACTACTGCAGTTTAAGTCATTTGTTTAGGTAAATTAAAACATAGTAAAACTTCTGTTGCAATCAATTGATTAGTGAAAATAAGTTCAAAATAAGTTCACTGTATAAATAAGGCTACAGTAAGTTAGGGAAAGAAATATTGAAGAATTAAACAAGAATATAAAAAAGACAGATAGAGCAATAAATTAAGTGCGTGCAAACCTAACAGAGGTGCCACCAGGTAGGGCCTCCTTGGGGATCTCTTAGTCTTATGAGCCTGGACATCAAGTCTATGACTAGATCTCCAGAAGCCTCTCATAAAGGCTGAAGAGGGTTGAACCACATGACTCTTCAGGACAGGGACCCCTATTTCCCAAACCCTAAAAATATAGGCAATAGTTTAGTTTACATAAAAAAGGCAACCCGGCTGGCAGCCAGGAGGAGCAGAGCATTGTGATTCCAGTTGGAGAGAGTGGGAGCTAGGGGTAGAGCCCTGTAATCCTTTAACAGGACAGAAAGGTCCTTAGTAGCTTTCATGGTATTAAGGCTGATTACAGCCACACCAAGGCTGTTTTGAGCAGCTTGCACTAACAGTGGCTTTGCAAGTAAGGGTGGCCAGTCTGAAAGCCATGAAAAGCCATAAATGATCTTAGTCATAAACGATCAAGGGTGCTCAGATTAGAAAAGATCAAATTAAAATGATCACCTGGTTTACAAAGATATAAAATACTGAAATTTTGAAAGGAAAAAGCAGAACTTACAAATTATATAAAAAACAAAATCATGGACTTAATTCGGAATGATTTGAAAAGAGAGAAAAGGTTACACCCTGAGCCCTTCAGAAAAGCACAATCTCCATCAGACAGTTTTCCAGTAGTGCAATGCCTGTTACATTCTTGTGCCACAGTTGGGCTCTGGCCACCCCATTGGGCAGTGCCAAAATAGCTAGATGAATGCCTTTCCAGCATAAAAGAGTACTTTGAGGAAACAGACGATTTCTTCTCCAAAGTCATCCTGCTTACTGAACTCTTTGACGCCCTACAATTAGGCACTTGTTGTGCTGAGTTAGCTGTTTCTGGGATCTATTTGCCTATCGCTTACAAAAACTATGTGATTATAACCAAGGCTAATTGCCCAAAAGCCCTTAAAGAAATTGGTATGAACTGTGCATTTGTAACCACTAAAGAACCAAAAAGTGGATTACTAGAGGAATTAAGCAAGTAGAAGAAAGAGGAGTGTGGTGTAAGGAAATTAGGAAAAGTTAAGGATGAGTAAACGGGTAAAGAAAGTTGGAGTTTGTTTATACTGACAGAGTAAATTCAGGGTTTGAAAGTAAAGGGTTTTGGAGTTTTGAAAAGGAGACTTCAGAGGAATATTTTTGAAGCAATGTCCCTTTGATAGTTGTTGCATGTCTCCCTTCCCTAGCCATGTAAGACTACAAAATAAGTTTCATAAAATGCATGTTAATTAAATAATTGATGGAGAAAGGATTATCTCTTTGCTCTGGTTTAAATAGTCATGCCAAAGTATTAGTAATTTAGAAAACGTCAAGGAATGGGTTTGGCTCTTTGGCTAACTCAAAGAAACAAAGAAGCAGAAATGGGAAGTTGAGAGTGTCACCAGGAATTGTTTTTGAATATAAGCCAACTAAAAATAACGGAACCTTGTGCAAAATGAAGTTTGGTTACTGCCACTAGTCTATAAATCAAAACTGACTGGGTTGACAATATCGTAATGGTAGCAAATCAGAGAATCTAATTAGTCCCTGCATGTACAAAGGGGATAATAAATATTTGCACCTATCTCCCAGGGTTGTTGGGAGAAACACATAAGTTGTAAAGTGCTGAATGCAGTGCTTGGCTTGTGTAAAGGATGACCACCACAGTATTCAGACTTTGTAGAAATACAACTGGACGAAATACTATCTTATTTGCAGGTACTTTTTCTAATTGGCATGGAATGTTAACAAAACTGGACTAAACTACAGTTTAAGATATAGTTATAGTTAAGTTACAGTTAAAACTACAGACTAAACATTTTAAAGTATTACTAAAAACAGGCTTAAGCAATTTTCAAGCAATTTTCAGGTCATGGGGACTACATAAACTACTCTGATTAGCATGAAAATGCCAAAGTAAAAAGTAAATGACTTTCTATGCATTGATAAGTTTGAAAGGGATTTAACTAAATTATTATCATCTGATTGGTGTTGTTTTCAATACAAAATGGCTAAGAGAAGCTGTTAAAGCAAGTTTCTTCTTCTTTTCAATCTGAATAGTGTTAAACTATAAATACATCTATTATATAGAGTATATTTTTTTTAAATCCTGGAAAATAATAATAGTAACAACAATAGTAAATGACTTACTGTTGGGAGAAAAGCGTGGTGAAATCCTCTTAGGAGATCTTTGTCTAAGAGGTTCCTTGAGATCAGCCCTACTGACAGGGTGTTGTGAAACTCAGCAGCACTGCTGTTTTGAGGAACCAGGGCCTCTCCCACCCAAAGTGGAAAAAGGTAACTTTTGAATAGTAGAGTGGGTGTCATTTGGGATCATTTGGAAACTCATGCAATTGTATCTTGTAATGCCATTATTTTGAACCAACTACTCACTGTGTATGAACTTGCGGTGAAGAAGTAGAAGCAGCAACACAATGCTATCTAGGTCTCTTGGGTCTGGGTGACTGAGATAGGTAAGCCACTCCTCCCCAGGTATACTTTTTTAGTTCATAAGGGTGGGGCGTCATTGTTGCACACAAGGGACAACAGATTCAACGAAGCAAGAGTAGGTTACTCCAGACACCATCCCAGGGGCACCTTGCATAACAACCACTTGTCTAACTTGTGTAGCTTTTAATCAGTTTTCATTTCAAGTCACACACACTGGTGGCCCCCTGCTAGCTTGCAGCCCTCTTTGAGCACTTATAGAAAAAGATTATTATCGTGCCCAAATCAGTTCCTGAAGTTGTGCCCAGCTATGACCCACTTACCTACATGGACTCTGCTGGGGGAATCTCATCTTATTCTCCTCCCACTGTATTCTAGAAATGTTCTGATGCTCTCCCTTTGGTTTGATCTGAAGACCAAGGCAGGGAATTTTAGTTGTGAATAGATGAACTTTGGGAATGATAGCTGTGTACAGATGAAATTTGTGAATACTTTAAAAAGTCTAGATGAGATTTTAAGGCTAACATAGGAGAAAAACAACAATTATCTAGCCCTAAGCCATAATTAGTGAAATTTTGCTGTTTGAGGAAGAGTCCCTTGGGACTTCAACTTGCTGCTATTCTAAGTCTTGAATGCAGATTCAAATGCCTGACCCCTCATGAGCCTGCTGGTTCATCATTCAAGGGAAATGCCATGTGTCCCTGCAGTCTGAGGACTGCCTCAGGTGGATGTCTGTCCTGGGAAAGTCAAGAG